TCAACCTTCTTCTTAATTACCCCTCTATTTATTTACCTTCGATCTAAACGAAGAATATATTATTTAATAGTTCTCGTTAAAGGCTATAAAAATCTTTAATCTATTCCTCGATCCGATTTCTCCTTCTTAAGATATAATTACTTTTATCTCTCCCTTCCTCCTATTTATTATTATCTCTTTATTCTATAATTAAATAATACCCTTAATTATTACTTAATACCTCCTATATCGACTATAATATATATTAATAAATAGACTAACCCTTAGTAGCTATATATAGATAAGGTACTTAGACTACCTTTAGACTTATAGGGGAAATAGAGTTAGATTATAAGCTTTAGCTAATAGGGTATAAGAGAACTTAAATGCTTATTATTATAGAATAGCTCTATAGAATACTATAAAAAGTATATTATTCTATAGCTACGACTTTTCTCTATTTTATAATATATATACTATTATAGTTTAGCTTTTATTTAAGCTATTAGAGTAATTATAAGACTCTAACTTATTATAACTCCTATAGGGGCTACTTATATTAATTTATTAGCTTATTATAGTAAGTCTTTGGCTTAGAATTTATAGAGAGACTCGAGTATATAAGAGACGAGGATAGGTATATAGTTACTATAGCTAATTTTCGTAGTGGAGCTATGCTTATAGCTTGCTCCCTATCTAGTGTGATTTCACCCCTGCTAGGTAGAGCAAATAACCAATAAGGGCCGAATAGATAACCGTCCTCCAACCAGTACCGAACAAAGGTAACTGAACGAATCATCTGTTTCAGCACAGTCTCCAACGCCCACTATGATTCGCTACGGGCGAGGTTCCTGTGCCAACTCAGCTTGAGTTGGCCGACCACATGGCCGCCTAGAGGGATGCGATCGCCCATCCACCGATCCTGTGACCTTGACGACGCGACGCGCTGGTCATATTATATAACAGGCCTGCCTCCATAGGAACATATGCCAACTATTCATTTCGGTCGCTCACCATAACGTACAAACACTACTTTTGACCTTGCGATATGAAACTCACCCAAGCTGTAGCCCTGCTGAGTGCAGCGGCACAGGGGACGCTGGCTTGGGGCAGTATGTGACAATCTGCTTTGAGCAGCCATCTCGCAGGATGAGAAGTTCGTGCTGATGGCTGTTGCAGGTCTTGGACACGTCACGACGGCATACCTCGCCAGCCATTTCGTCTCTAACACGACTGAGGCCTTCTTTCAAGACCTCTTGCGCAATGATACGGCGGACTACCTCGCCAACATTGCCACATGGGCCGACACGATTCGGTATACGCGCTGGGGCCACTTCACCGGCATCTTTCATTTTATCGACGCCAAGGACGATCCCCCGTCATACTGCGGCGTCGAGCTCGACCGCGACTGCAAGGAAGAAGGCTGTGTTGTAACGGCACTTGCCAACTACACGCAGCGGGCGCTGGATCCGGAGCTGAGCGCATGGGAGCGTAACCAGGCGGCCCGCTTCGTCGTGCATTTCATCGGTGACATCCACCAGCCGCTGCATGATGAAGACGTCTCGAGGGGAGGTAATGGTATCCACGTGCTGTGGGAGGGAAAGGAGTTCAACCTGCATCACGTTTGGGATAGCTCCATTGCTGAGAAGCTCATCGGCGGAGCGAGGCGGCGACCATATGACAACGCCAAGAGATGGGCTGATGGACTTGCAGAGGAGATCAAGACTGGCAAGTTCGCTGATGAGAAGGCCGAGTGGCTGAAGACGGTTGACTTCAACGATGTCGTGGGCACGGCGCTGTCGTGGGCGCGAGAGGGCAACGCATATGTCTGTACTCATGGTAAGTGTTTTGCTGCTTGGCCATGGGCCAACTCATAGCCCGTCAACCAAGAGACGGATGGCTTCTAACAAACCATTGACAGTTCTGCCGGATGGACCCCACGAAATCGTAGGGCAGGAACTGGGCGGGGCCTATTACGAGAAGGCGGCGCCGGTGATTGAGTTGCAGGTCGCTCGAGCTGGCTACCGTATGGCTGCCTGGCTCGACCTCATCGCGGATGAATTCGAAGCCAACAAGGTCCAGCAAGGCGGCTGGCAAGAGCTGTAGTATGGCCATTAATGAATGTTCTGACCTGCGGGACAGTCGAACCTACGTTTCCTGGTTGTATTCCAAACAAGTTTGAAAGCCTCTGATGTGTCCTGACTGTCAACACAGCAACCATTGGCGGCAACGACCAAGATCGAGCCGGGGTGCCATGGGATCGTCAACGAAGGAGGCATGGCTCGGACACGTCAGCATGGCACTCGCGGAAATCAAACTGACAGCCGTTCCTGCCGAGACTTCTTGATTTGCTAGTTGAGTACTGTAGATTGACTCGCTAAGTTTGATTTGCGCCGTCTCCGCGTTTCTTGGTAGGCTCGGCAAGGCATTTCCGCCCCTGGATCCCCCATAAAGTGGCGCCATTTTGCCAGAACGATCTTGGCCTGTGGATTTGGAATGACGGTCGCGTGGAAGCATCGGAGAAACAAAGACTACAACCATGTAGCGATAAAAGTCAAAGTACGGGCCGATTTGAGGTGTGATGTCAAGGCGTCTTGAGATGAAATGTGACATCCGAAGTGCGGTATCATTTTGCAACGCAGGCCCGCCACCATGGGGACTTGGAAAGCGATTGCCAACTCTACTTGCAGTACGACGTCGTGATGCATAAAAAAAGCCGTAGGGTTTATTTAAGTGCTGGTGTCGAGATTGGGGCGGCGTTCCCGTCACGGAAGCACGGCTATTTGAGCTTGGCCTTTGTGGGTGAAATAAAAGGAAGAAGCGCGTTTCTCTGTGATCTTCGCAACATGGCGTCAGTAGCAGTTTCAAGGTTCGGCTGGGTAGACACCTACCTGTGTAGATGGCGATACAGTACATACAAGACCAAGGGCCCCACGTCGGCTGAACATAGCGACGTCAAGATCGGGGCGGGTTGGGACGGCTGGGAATGACACTCTGCCAGCAAGGAAGGTAACGAGATCAAGAGGATGGAGGTGCGGTTTCCAAGGGGCACATCAAGCGGTTTCACCATGACCACTGCAGTCTCGAGTACGCCCTCAGGTTACAGAGTTGGATGCCGGCCCAAGCACACCCAGTCCCTATAGACAGGGGTGGACACAGCCAAGCTGTTGGCATGGGTGTGGCCCTGTGGGGCATTGGAGACGTGCAGAATGTAGTGTCCCCAGATGCCGAAAGCCAGACACGATATGGAGATAAGGTTGATGGTTGTACATGTAGTGATGCAGACGAATCGGTGAGCCGGATGCTGCAGTGCCATGCAGTGCAGCAAGTGCGCTGAAGTGCGGTTTCTATACGTGAGGTCGGGTATCCGGCGCTATCGCTTAGTTCTGCCTGCAGTTGCTGTAGGACGTAACGCGGAAGTCTCCTCTGGCGGAACCAGAAAGAAACTAGGTTCGTTTTGCCAGTCTGTCTGGGCTCTCTCCCGCCGAATTTGTTTCCATTCAACGTCGTCCCATAAGCTGTGTTTGTCGAAATTGATAGATTATCGATGGTGGCTAATAACTCATGCTTCCATAGCAATTGGGTAAGGAGGCCAATCGGAACGCCAAGAGAGACTCGGAGACTTGAAGCGTGCCAAGGCGGGACGATGGGGCACTCAGGCTCTAACTCTAAAAATCAGCGTGCTCCACGTGAACGACCCCCCCCCCCAAGCCCCCCAAGGCCCTGCCTGCACTGCATGTTCAGGGGTTCCGCCAATGTCTGGGCAAGGGGTGTCCAAAGAGAAGGAGGCAGTGGTGCTGGTGTCAGCAGTCGGCTGGTCCTAGATGATACAGGATTGAATGGAACAGCGTGATGTTTGCTGCCCCCTCCCCGGCTGCTGAATTCCGTAGGAATATTCTTCTGTTGCTGATGCCGAGTGCAATGGATGTGCCTTGATCATCCGAACTTCCGGCCAAGACATGGAGGCCTGTCAGTAATCGTCAGAGCGCCCTGGTCGGGACACCCCAAGCCTCGCAAGGGCACCCTTCAGATGACAAGACAAATGCTCGGACGTGTATCTGGTTAACAGGACGGACGAGGCGGAGCGAACGAGAGCGCCCAACGCCGACAGCGACAAGCGACGGAGCAATTTATGTTTGGTGCTAATGACCGGTTTGTCGCACTATCAGACCAGCTGCCGTCTGATATTCCAACAGTCGCTTGCCCAGGTCGGCTGCCCGCCCTTTCACGGCCAATAGATTGCTGCCGCCGCTTGCTCGTGTCGTCGTGGTGCGGATGGCCGTTGACCATGGCCGCGCTTGGTCGACCTTGGCCGACTTCCGTAGATCGACAATGTGAAGACAATGGGCACATATGCGCTTCGATCATGTCCGGGAAGCGCTTCGCCTGACACTGGCAGCCTCACATCCCGACGAGATGGGCAGGAACAACTGGAGACGGAGGGTGTGAATGCAGGTGGGGATGATGGGGACGTCTTGCTATTGGCACATGCTGTGGTTGGGAAAGACAGATGGAGATAAAGAGGGAAGAGAGCACTGCGATATGGGGCAGCTTGGGCAGGTACCGGGGGGGGGGGGTCACGGTCGCGCCTGCACTGAGCTTAGCCCACCCCTGGACCGTCTCGACTTGCTTCATCGCCGCCTGAGCTCAGGCAGGACGAAACGCCATGTGCCTGATGTCGCTCGCTGGATTGCCGCCATTGGTTCGCTGACCACCACAGGAGGTCCACTGATCCTCTCCTGCGACGACAGGAGCCGCATGCGCCTTCCAACGACCAGATGCCTCCTTTTTTGCCTACTCCTCCACGCCTCTCCCTCCTTTTTTTGTCATCTGCGTACTATTCTTACTGCATGGATCCATCGGCCCTTGGCTCATGATCGCGGCCAAGACACGCTCCGGAGACCATCTGTGCGATGGTCCAAGTGAAGTGAGCACGCGGCCGCGAACGTCCATCATGGCTTCTCCTACTACTACACAATCCGACAAGCCGGGCACAACCAACGACACCCTCTCAGGACCCTGCCGTCCAAGAAACCGATCCTTGTCTGTCATCTGCTAAGCATCCAGATACAGGCACCCCGGCCTCAGAATTTGCGATGCCGTCACATACCTTGTAGCCCAGCAGAGACGGACAGCCACCCCTGTTCCGCTTGTCGCATCCTCCGTCTTCAGACAACGCTATCGAGAAGTCTCCAGCATGTCCCAACCTGTCTTGTTTGGGAGGCGGCCCGCCCTCTCGTCATCGCGCCTTCGGTCCAAACACCAAGGGACGACCTGTCAGCCCTTCTCAGACCCTCGCCGCGCTCCTCTCAAGGCCCCTGCGCCGTCGTGTTTGGGATCCGTGGAGATCCCACCCGCGGCTGCTGTTCGCCCTCGCCCTCGCCGTGCTTTGCCCAGCCCTGCGCATAGTCAAGGCTTGACCAGGGTACGGCTTCGCTCGACTATTTTGCCAGATGCCTCCCCTCCTCCATTCGTCCCATCCATCATTCGCTTCTTCTTCTTCTTCAACCCCTCCCTTTTCGTTTCTCCTCCTCCTCCCTTAAACGCTGCGAGTGTGTCTTCACCTCTGCCTTTCATTCTTTTTCAGTCTTCTTTTGCATATCCCGAAGTCTGTGACTGATCGCTCCTTTTCTACGTCTCCTCGACAACAACGGTCTGGTACCACCTTACTTTCAGTTCAGCTTTCGCCCTTTTCTTCTCCTCGACGGACTTGTATATCAAATCCTCAGTTTCGATTTGAGACGATAGATTCGATCAGTCAACAACACAGTTCTCACCCCACCGAGACAATCACAAACATACCATCACCATGCAGATCAAGAGTGTCCTCATCGCCGTCGCCGGCCTTGCCGCTCTGTCCGAGGCCTCTGTCATTCCTGGCGCCTCTCCCTTCAGCAGGACGCTCGCTCGTCGCCAGTTCCGCGGCGGTCAAGGGGGTAACAACGGCGGCAACAACGGTGGGAACAATGGTGGTAACAACAACGGAGGAAACAACGGCGGCAACAACAACAACAATAACGGAGGGAACAACAACGGTGGAAACAACAACAACAACGGCGGCGGTAGTGAGTATCACTGGGCGTCAGTCAGACGCTCACCCAGTCACTAACACTCTTCATAGACGCCGGCGCCACCCAGGTCTGTCTCGTCGACGGTGTCCTCCAGGAAGGTTCAAACCAGGCTGGCCAGCCTGCTGATGGCGCCGTTGCTTCCGCCACGGACGACTCCAACTTCATCAACTTCTGCCAGGGAGAGGAGTTGACCAACGGTGAGCAGAAGACCGGCGGCTCTTGCAACGGAATCCCTATGGGCAAGATCCCAGCCCAGAACAACATGGTCTCCAGCATTCTGGTCAACCCCGCCCACAACGACAACCTTGAGGCCAACACCGACTTCGACATCCAGGTCCAGGTTGACAACTTCGCTCCTGGAGCCTTCACCGATGCGCAGAGTACCTATTACTCTGCCCCCCAGGACCTCGATGGTCAGGGCCGCATCATCGGTCACACTCATGTCACCGTTCAGACCTTGGGCGGCAACCTCACTCCTGACCAGCCTCCTGACGCCTCTACCTTTGTCTTCTTCAAGGGAATCAATGATGCTGGCAATAACAACGGCCTTCTCTCTGCCACCGTCACTGGTGGTCTGCCTCCCGGTAACTACCGTGTCTGCACCATGTTCGCGGCCGCAAACCATCAGCCGGTGATCATGCCAGTCGCCCAGCGCGGTTGCCAGGATGACTGTAAGTCGATCGTGAGCCATGATGATGATCTCTCTCTGACCAGTCACCAGGCAACAAGTTTACTGTCGGTGGTAATGGCGGTAACAACAACAACAACAACAACAACAACGGTGGCAACAACAACAACAACGGCGGTAACGGCCAAGACCAGAACGCAGGCAATGGTCAGGACCAGAACGGCGGTGACGGCCAGGGCCAGAATGGAGGTAACGACCAAGGCCAGAACGCAGGCAACGGTCAGGGTCAGAACGGCGGTAATGGTCAGGGCCAGAATGGAGGTAATGGTGCCGGACAGGGCGCCGGCGCCGGTCAGGGTCAGGGTGGAGGCAATGGTGCCGGACAGGGCGCTGGACAGGGTCAGGGTCAGGGCGGAGGCTTCGGTGGTGGCTTCGGCGGTGGTTTCGGTGGTGGCTTCGGCGGTGGCCGCGGCCAAGGTGCGTAATGTGAAGTATAAAACTTAGATTGAATCCTTCCTAACATCGACCTAGGTGGCCAGAACCAGGGTGGTAACCAGGGTGGTGTTGATCAGACTGTCGATCCTGCTGTCGATGCTACTGCTGCACCGTCCGCTGACGCGACTGCCGACCCTGCTGCCGGAGAGACTGAAGCCGCTGACGGTGCGAATGCCGGCGCTGATGGAGGTCAGGGTGCTGGCGGCGCCGGTGGTGCTACTGCGGCCAATGCTGTCGGTGGTTTTGCAGCGCCTGAGATCTCCGACTCTGGCAACGCCGATCGCCCGTTTGAGGTCAACGGCAACACCTTCACCAACCGTCAGACCGCTGCCCAGAGAGCTTGCGACATCCAGAAGAACCAGTGTGCGGACGCCGTCAATGGAGGCGGCGGTGCTGGCTTCGCTCTGTCCGACTGCCAGGCACAGGTCGCCTCTTGTGTGGCTGAGCTTGCCTGAGAAGCCTGAGAGACCTGAGAAGGCTCTCTGGTGCAACTCACACAGCCCCCTTAACTCCCCCTTTGTGCTGGCTCTCTTCAGAGCAGGACCGAGTCTACGTCGGTCATGAGTCACCCGATGTTCTACATATCTATCTTCTAATGTTTCCCCCGAAGTTCATGTATCTGGTTGTATGCCATCCCGAAGAGGCTGGGAGGGATTTTGTTTGCCGTTGACATAGGATATGCAAGATTTGACTAGAAAATGAATTGAAGACACATTCCAGCAGAAATCTGTGTTCTCTCATATCATCGTGGTACAGTGACTGATCATGTCGCTCCAAGTGACAGAAAATGACAGCCAGCACATGCTCCTCCGACCTTCGACTTGGCTTGCTTGGCCTGACTTCACTAGACTGGTCTGGCTGGCCACGGTCTGTGCTGGAGCAGTTACTGAATACATGTGTGTCTCACCTCCGAGCTCTGGACCTTAAGGAGCGCTGCTCATGCGTTTTGTGCCGGAATGTCTGAGCCTGGTTCCTGAAACGGGGCGGAGGCGTCTGGTGTGGTGGCCGGGGTGTCCGAGGGGTCTTGGGACGAGACGACGTGACCGGCTAAGTAGGGACGGGGGATAAAGTTGGAATCTGCCAATGTGCGTTCATTTGTCAGAGGGATTGTTAAAATCCGCACTGGCCCATGAGTTCTTTTCGGCATCCTGTCAGTGGGTGGCTGTGTGTAGTGTGTGGTATTTTCTGATGATGGTGAGATTGCGCTGTTCTTTCCATTAAGCCCAGCTGGGAGCATGGGCACTGGGTCTGATCTCATGAGGAGGACGATGCCCATTTGAGGACTGTGAAGCCCCTTTACCAACTGGGCTTGATTCTTGTCGAGTGAGAGTTGCATCGTTTGTAAGGCTTCGGGACGTGACAGTAACGTGACGTTGGCGATCGTTAGGCTATCGCCCCAGCATGGGGTAAACGTCCGTTTAAAGTGCCAACGGGACGAGGGCGCGATCTTATGCTTACCTACCTTACTCAACATGCTATCTCTCCGTACGAAACAAGGGGACGTCAGATGTCACGCAGGCGTAAACCTTATAGTACCATGCCAAAGAAAGTTTCGGAGTCACTGCCAGCGAAGACCAACAGTGCTCATCCCCTTACCACAGTGTTGGCATATAGTTCAACGCACCTTGCAACGCAGCCGTAATTTTACCGAGTAGCCGAAGTCATCGCCTTCGCAGTCAACACTCTCACGCCTTCTCAGTACTTCCGCCGTAGCCTCTCTCGCTCGAGCATCGAGGCCATGGGCTAGCAACTGGTAGGGATACGACGCTGACTTTTTGCGGACTTTTCCTGGCGCCCATGTTCGCGACCGGATGCTTTCTTTTTGAATCTCACAACGAAGTAAACTAAACAAAATGGTCATCATATCATGTGAGAACTCTCAGGTTTCCAACAGCTGGCGGCAGCTATGCTGCTCTTGCAAGCACAAAAAGAGAGGGACGGACGTGGGACCCCCAAAACGCTTTCATGGCCGTACATGACAAAAGTCTCTTCGAACGTGCCACTATGTGTTCGATGGACGTTGACCGCACAGCAAACGCCCCATCCAGCTCGCCGCTCAACGACATGGCTCACGACTTCCTTCAACCAGGGATCAACATGAAGCCTGAGCAACAGACAGAATGGTTAGTTTGCTTACTGCATCTCCGGCCGAATACGCATGAAAAGCACTCAAAGATAAAGACGTGTTAGGGGAGCAAGGAAACATTCAGCAGAGGAACAGCGATTTGGTCTCACGAAACCCCCGTGGCATTGTGCACAGCCTTAGTTGGTATAAAGTTTTATTGGACCGCTTGCTCGAGCCCCTACATCGGCAACGTGGACATATACATAATGAAGAGAATGGAATGGAAGCTGTAGTCATATCTGTGCTGTCTCTTGTCTCGTGAGACCTTGGTACTGGCCCGAGCCAGACCTGCCGAATGCGCCGTCCCACCAAACGCCAGGAAAACGCTGAACAATGCAAATCGAAGGTGGTACAACAAAACAGTACTCGTACCCTAGCTCCAGTCAGAGTGGACTCAGAAAAACTCGCTCGCACAACGTCGTGTCTCATTGTATTTTGATGGCTTCGAACAGAGACAAGCTCAAAGCCGTGTCGTTTTCGCCCACAATCGGCGACGGCTCACTCAGTAATTCCCATCGTCGGAATATGTACGGTGTCAGCCTCGCAGAACCCTGCACGCTAATGGGGATCTTCGGTCTGGGCGGTCCATTTGACGGTGGCGTCGGCGTCTGTCGATGGGCGAGCATGAATTGCTCCATCCAAGGCGCGGCGTAGCTGAAAAGATATCGTATCCCAGCGTCGGACGTAACCGGAGCTTGAAGTGAGCCTCCGATAAGGATGGCGCGCACGCACTGCAGGCGTGACTCTTCGGGTAAATGATCAACGAGGAATAGGGCGAGGTCGAAAGTCGTCTGTCGTAGTTGTCGACCAGACCTTGCTTCCTCACAGCTGATGTTATCAAGCTCAAGCATGATGCCGGACAGCACGACGAGCATGCGTGCGCGAACATCATTGGCGGCCGCCGTTGTAGGCGGTTTCATGCTGGCTGGCTGCGTGGGCGACAACACCGGCTCGTTCGCCGTCGTGTGAAGTGTGATGAACTTCAACAAGAGGGGCAGCCAGTGCTCGATAATCGCCATCCTCAAGTCCGTCCCAATTAATTCCGTGGCCGCCAGCAACTCCCAAAGCTCCGTCAACTTATCTACCATGGACATGTTGAGTTGAGTAGCCTTCAGTGCTGGCCGCCCACGAATGATAGCCTCAACGACCGATAGAAGACTTTCGGATAGTCGAATCATGTCCTCGGATGAATCCCCAGCAGTCGACATAGTCTTGAGCGATGGTACTAGGCTGAAGAGCCTCGTCTGAGCCTGCCGCTTGAGATGATCTGTGATTTCCTCGCTCAGATAAGGCAGCACACTCGTCCACATCATATTTTTCGTCTCCACGGCCTGGTCCAGGGCTTTGGACAACATATCAACGTGAGACGCAGGCTGTTCGTCTCCACTGCTGCCACCCGCTTTGCTCGCTGCCAGGCCTATCGACAGTTTCAACTGGCAGAACGGGAGCGTAAAGTCGTTGGCGAGCTCCAGCACCGTTTCGAACGTCATAGGATCATTCGGATCCCGAGTCGGCGCCAGCAGCCTTGTGGTGATACTAGCAAGCACGTCGCTCAGCGGCGAGTCTGCAAGCTTGGTGCCCAGAATTTGCACGGTGGTCGGAGAATCGTTCAGCACAAGAAGTCGTAGCAGATCCAAAACATCGTCCCGAAGATCTTGCCGAGCCAAAGGGGCACTTGTTGACACTTCGGAATTTTGCAGCTTGGAAAACTCAATGAGAGAATTCCTGATAAGCACAGCCAGCTCCCTGTGATATTGCTGTGGTGCCACCCGCTGCTGTACATAGAAGCGATATGCTTCTTCCTGTGAAAGGGCGTTTTTAGGCGGTAAGGGACTGACGACGAGCTGGAGGACCTCTTGCATGTATGTTGACGTGCAACCAACTTGACCTCCGACTACTTTGCTGGGATCGATTGTCGTTGTTGTCATGATGGTAGACAGCCCCAAGCAGCCAAGGCTGATGAGGAAGGGATAAATGTCGAAAAGGGTTGGTCGTGTCTTCATGATGCTGACATGGTGGACCCAATCTGTCATGCGGACATCAAAGTGCTGAGTGTCAAAGATACGAAGCCTGGCCAGGAGAGCACTGTAGGCATGCTGCTTCTCCGAGTCCTTCACCCAACTACCCTCGATACGCGTGACGACGGTGTGGAAAAGTCGGTCCATGGTGGGACGGTCGAGGCTCGTGCCGCCAGTAAGTAGCCTTTCAATCTCGTCGTTCAGCTCGCCCTCCGCATCCTGGAGGCGCGCAGCCATGTTGTCCGAGACTGGTGAGCAAGCGTCGATCGCCGTGCTTTGATCGATCTGTTGGAGCTCCTTTCGAAGGTGTGCTGACGTGTTGGCCAGGCCGGGGAGCCTGGCGGTCAGGGCTCCCAATGCCACTAGCAGCGGTCTGACTCGAACTCCTTGCTCGTCGTTGACAATCTTCATTCTCTCGAGTAGCAGATCGCAGAGATTCCGCGCCACATTCATTGCTGCGAAGGTAGGCAGATGAACGTTGACTGTGTCGGCGCACGAGGCCAGTATGTCCGCATCAGGGAACCTACTGGTCAACTTGATCATCTCGGCCATGGTCGTGAAATCCTTGGCTGCCTCCAGTATGGACCGAGCGTGGTTGAACGCCGTCGGAGAAAGATGAACGTCGGAGCTGGATTCGTAGTCGTCCGTCTGAAAGATCTGTAAAAGTCGTGCGCCGACCTCAGTCTGCAACGCCCGGCTGCTGTTGCTGACGGCACGGCATATCTTGGCCAGCGGCATCGGTCTCCTTTGTGCTGGTGATATCTCCGCGTCGGACGAAAGACCGAGAGCGTGACGGATAAAATTCCACGCGGCATCGATATCCCTGGCTTCTTCTGCCACATCGAATGCCGCACGTCGCAGCAAATTTGCGCGGGTTGCGATGAATGACGAGCTAAGCGCGCTCAGCGGCAAGTCGATGAGCAGTCTCGTAGAGCAGGGAGCATCGGGTTCGGTATCGAGGGAAGACGTCATCCCCCCGCGACCCATGAGCCAGACGACGTACTCTCGAACGTTGAACTGGCCAGTTCTGACAAGTTCAGAAATAAGCTGGTAGAACAACCGCTTGGGGGTTGTCCCCTGGGGAGGTGCAGCGCCGATGGACTCAAGGATCGCCGTGGTGATATCGACACCGGTAGAGGCCCAGGCGCGGAGCAAGCTGGCAGCAACATAGATTCTGGCTTGTCCAGGACGATAAAAAGAGGTCGACCATTCAAGGACGGTTCTCACAATCATACGCTTGTCCTCGCTGACATTCCAGCAACTTGATGCCAATTCGTTTGTATATAATGTCTGGAATGTCGTGTCGAGCTGTTTAATCAGGATCTGGCGGTTCGCCGGTTGAGACTTGCCACTTGAGGCAATGAGTACCTCGTTTCGTGAGTTGAGGGCTTTGTAGGCGCTCAGAACGGCATCGTTATCTATGGGAATAGACGCAAGCAGGGTTTCTCGACAGCGAAGCCACGTCGTGGGTGATAAGAAGTTGTCTGGGTAAGAAGAGAGTAAGGGCAGTAGGAGTGAGGTGAGCTTGGTGGAGAGCTGCGCTAGAATGTCGCGATCGGGGTCGCTCTGGATCTTGAGTCGGCCATCAGTACATGTTCTTCCGCAGAGAGAGGTGAACTAGTGACATACCGTGGTGAGGTGGCTGAGTAGAGCATTCGCTAAGCGGCGGCCGTGTCTGCGAAGGCGAAGCAGGTCCTTCCAATATATCTGACTGATCAAGATCCACATGGGTAGCTTCGACTGGGTGCTGTTTTCGAGGCCGCCGACCAGCCAGTCCATGTAATGATCGCGGTCGACTAGGTGTTCGGCGTACAGGTGTGTAGCCAGACGTATGCTACAAAGGTTGGTCAGTAACGTCTCCAGGGGCCCGATGTGATGAAGAGGAAGAACATACGCATACTGCACCCTGGCCTTCCAGTCAACCTCTCCAAAAGCAGATGCGACGCTCTCAACAAATTGCTCGACATAGAGGGTCCAGTCCTTTAACCACTTGGCCTCGCCGCCCATGACGACTGTACCGTTTACGCCCTTTCTCTTGACGGTCCTCAAATCATTGGCGCCGACACAACGGACCAGCCACACTGCACGCTCAGTGGGTACATTCTTGTTGAGACAGTGATCGAGAAGACCCTTGCCGCGGATTCCGTGAGGAATTGTTCGGCTCAGTCGACGAAGCGAGATGGCCGGGTTCGCCAGATCGCGCATCCAGACCTCCCGCTTGGTATCGGTAAGGGTGACGCGAGGTGGAGGCTTAAACGCCGAGGGCGCGACGACCTGTCCGTTGTGTTTCCTCTGGTTGAGGACACCGACAAAGATGCTCGACAGGAGGTTGAGACCGTTCTTGTGCTTCAGAGCTGGAAAGATGGCAGGCTTCGCCGAGGTCGTCTCGGCTTGGGTGACGGGTGCCTTGTCGAAGTAGCCATTCTTGATGACAGCATCGGACAGACGGTCCTCTGGGTGGTTGCCAGTCCACGAGAAGAAGTCCGCATTGCCCATGTCATGGGACTCCTTTGCGGTGGCCGAAGCACCGTACCCGACTTTGGTCGCATCCGCCTTGGGGCGGTTCAGCGGGGCATATCGTGGGGCGTCGGGTGGTATCTCGGCGCTGTATGGTTTCGGACGACCATCCTTCTTCGTGGCTATGACGGCAGGCTTCGTGTCTTTGGGTGGCGTCGGCAGCGCAAACCTCGGGCGGCGTTTGGGCATAGGCATGGGCGGGTTGTCGTTGTCGAGCGGGCCGGCTCTGGTAGAGGCGGGCGAGTTCGTGTCGGCGAGGCTCGATGCGTCGTTCTTGGGGACGAGGCGTGAGGGCGTGAGGTTCTGGGGGCTTTCGGTGGCGGGCTGGAAGAGAGTGGAATCGTTGGAGAGCTCGAGCTTGAGGCGGGAGCCTCCCCTCCTCGGCACGGTGCCATATCGGTTCTGCGCAACGGCGACATCGTTCGAGTCGCCGGTCAGGTCGATGAGATTGCTGGGCTCCTTTCGGACGGGCGACGGCGGCAGATACTGGGCAGAGAGGGTGCGCTGGTGAGGAGGCCGTTGGACCGTCAAGCCCGAGCTGCTCAGGGTTCGCTGCTGGGGCGGTCGCGGCTGGACGCCCATCGGGGTCCGGGAGGTCATGGCTAGCACGGGGATGGCTGCGACGACATGCTGCGCGATTGTTGTCGAGGGAGTCGGTTGGGTAGGAGGGGTGATCAGACAAGTAGTGGCGACGTAGCGATATCGATGAGGGTTCTGGGAGGGATGGTAGTCGAGTATGGCGACGTTGCGAAAAGGGTCGTGATGGTTACAACTGACGGCGGACGCCGGACGGGATGATGTTCAGCCCCGGGCACAGATGACAATGCAGACGGGGCTCGGAGGTTCAAGAGGTGTGTCGGGGTGCGGCTGTTTGATAGCTATGGCGACAATGAGGATGATGAAACAGATCAATGTCGTGATATTTGTCGAACCCGGTAGGAGGATGGTCAATCGGAGACAAACAGGCGCTATCGAGGCGACGCAAAAGCAAAGGAACCAAAGGCGAGGCGGGCTGGACGGGACGGGAGCACAGAGCACAGAGCACAGAACAGAACACAGAGCGTAGGTACCACCTAGAGCAGGAGCAGCGCAGGACAGAGTATGCCAAGCACGACCGACGTGACTAGGGTCCGGACGAGGTACTGTGCTTGGTAAGATGGGTGCTGGGGTACCTTGGATGGTCCAATCCAGCGGCGAACAAGCTGGCCTCCTGGCTGGCTGGCTGGCTGGCTGGGACCGGTCGCCAGTGCAGGTGCGCGCAACAGGCAGGGTAAAGAGCGCGAGCCGTGGTAGGCGCGGCGAGGGAAGGAGAGATCGAAGGGGCTTGGGGGCTCGGGTCGGGCAGTGCGCAGCTCCCCCCGTTGCAGCGCACCCTGCGCGAGGAACAAATCGGGGGCAAGTACCAAAGGAGGGCAGGAGGGTTTCCACAGTTCGCCGGGGGGTTCGGCGTTCGGTTGGTGGGGGGGTCCAAACAACCACATGGGCTGCCAGGGCCGTCGGGGATCCTTTCCAGCACGCCAGATACCACCTATAGGTAGGTAAGTTAGGTACATCTAATGTACTGACTGATTACCCCCCGTCAGTGCCCACCTCCCCAGTCACGCCACCCGACAGCCCCCGCGTTGAGTCGTGCTCTTCACTGGCTCGTGGCGAGCAGTGTACTTACCCGACGCGAATCGCCCCAGAATGCCCACTTGCTCTTATGTGGGCGGCTTCGTCACGAGACCAGACACGAACCGATCCGGTAACAAAAGTCAATGAGACTGGTAGACAGGTGCTCGCTGCGATAAAAACCCCGCACAATGTAGCTATCTCCTACTCCATGCGCAATTCACGAATCCATGTCATGATTTGTCCACGTCGTGTCGGGCATCGATCGCTCCGCAATTGTTGGGGATTGGAGGATTCAAAAAGCCGAATCTCGAAGAATTGATCACCTGCAACGCTGCCTATCTCCCTAACCTACCATGTAGGTAGGTAGATAGACAAAGTAGATGGTGGGTGACCTGAACCCCGAGTGGTAGTTCCCGACTACCCGTCTCGACTAGCCGGAGCGAGATTTCCATATGTGGTCGTCGACCCTGGTCCCAGTCGCCCTATCGGTGATGGGCGAACCCTATGAAGGACGGCTTTCCGTTGGGGCTCCGGGCACTATCTAAGCATCGCCCCAGCCTTCAGCTCACGCCTCGGAACGGAGTTTCTCACTCAGCACCAGGTAGAGAGATAATAAAACCACCTACATGGTACATGGTGGGGTGTTGTTGCGTCTGGCTACACGCAGGTTTGACTGACAACTGGAGACATCATACGTGGACATCCCAAGGCCAAGTGTTGTGTAACGGAACCGGACCTGTGTCCCGGCTCACCCTCACATCGCTTCAGCAGACGCAAGACGATCCTACCTTATCTCTGGCATCCTCGGTGCTCCGGAGTTTTCACGATCAAGTTCATGCGCTGAGTGCTGTTCAATGCAAGTATCCTGTTCTATTCTATGCCAGTATGCGTACACTCGGATATCCCGGTCAACAACAAAGGCGGATCCTCGAGGACCCTTCATCTCGATCTACTCGGGGAGAGGGGTGCATCCTGTTGTTCCGAAGATGCGTCAAGCCGACTGCAAGCATTGCAAACCCCCCCCCCCCTTCTTTTCTACCAATCCTTTTGTTCGCGAGAGTCTAGCCCACCACAAGCCACAGAGGGGCTTGCTGCCCCACACTGCGAGACACCTCAGGCCAACATCTCCAATCCCGCACCCCCAACTTCACCCCCAACCCCAGATTTCCCATGCGACTGCACAGCGACGACCGACTCCGCCATTGAAGCTATCGTGTCTCTGGTCTCTGCCGGCACGTCTACCATCAACAACCCATTCGAGATGGCTTCCAAGAAGGACATGCGAAGGGCCGACCTGGGTACGTTGCTCTGTCCATGCCTGCCCCCCATCGATCTTCCTTCTACCACATTTGCCTCTGCCAATCCCCCAGCTAATACCTCGCCAGTCATCCCCTACCAGGCGCCCAAGCCCAAGGAGACGCAGGAGCTCTCCTCTACTCTCTCTAGCACCCTCCCCATGGCCGTCATGCTGACGCGCAACCGCTTTATCGGATGGTATGAGAATTATCCGCAGCCCTTCTCGAATCCCACGTGTCGTCGCATCTCGAGCAAGCCTCTTCTCTCTCCCCAACTGTTGCGATACCAAGACATGGCGCCTCCGTACGAGAGCATCAAAAAACTGACACGTCGTTGCACAGGGCTGCCGTCATCTACAGCGTCCAGAACTGGCTTGGCGAGAGCGAAGATCAGAAGAAGACCGCCACCACTCCAGGCTACTTCAACGTTACCATGTCCCGTACGCAACCCCGCTCCTCCTCCGTCACATGAGGTGCTAACAACCACATCACAGTCGTTTCCCTTCTCGTCGCCTACCTGCCCCTCTTCCTGCCTCCTAAGCTGGCCGCTGCCGCCACTGGCACTGCGCCAGCCGCTCCTCTTCCTTTGCAATAAACGCCTTGTGCGATCATGTAGCAGACGGTAGATGCAAGGTGTCTGGATTCTGTATAGCACGTTGAAACCAGGGGCGCCATGGGGGAGGGCCCCAGGCCCTCGCAAATAACATATATTTTGGGTGAAATACGGCGTCGTGGGCTTCAGCTTGAAATTCCTCCTGCGCAGGTTGGCAGCCAGGGACTCGCTTTGCAGCGAATGATTGTACAATACCCAGATATCCAGGGATAGCTTATGTTTTAATCACCACATTAAGATCCTCTTGCCAGGTTACGGACTTGCTCATTCATGGCCTCTGTTTGCGCTCCGGAAATAGCCTTGGCCGCATCATCAGGGGTAGTATTCTATCATTGTGTACGCTTTGGTGCTTTGACTTGCAAGACATAGACCTGAAGTAATTTTGTGGCTGACAAAGGAGATAGACCTGAGGCTTCGTTGTCGAAGAGATCTTGTCTGAGATGCTACATTCTTCAAAGCTCATTAAACCACTTTACTTTGGTGTAGAGAGTGTATGCTTACAGTGTGCAGATCTTATACAGCCATGCCATTCCTGAAATCTCACTGAATTATCTCAAACCCGTCATGGAAAATCATCGGTGATGCTACTGCAGCAGATGCTTACTTAACCTGGACACACTGTCTATATCCAACGGCCATGCTATCTTCCCCTTCTCTCAGAATGTCGAGGGAGTCGCCGCTGTAGAGAAGAGACAAACTGCCTTTGCCTATACTGTCTACATCGTCTTTCGGCTCGAAGCATCATGATCATCTTTGTCTATGTACGACGACAAATGCGAATAGTCGTCATGCCGACGGGTCTCGGCGCACATGGTTCTTGAGCGTTCTGAACCCATTACTACCGCTCTTGCACGCTGCATAGAGAAAGAGCCCGCTGCTCAAATGCGGCCTTGGGCTGCGGCCTTGCGTGCCATCGTCAGGTCCATATACAGGCTCAGTAAACGACCATGAACGTTGACGATACACGTTGACACGTTGATACGCGCAGCCACGGTAACCCCCATCCCAGAACCCCTCAACCACGGTCCTACTCAGCTCTGACAGTCTGTCAGATAGCTTCAACTCTCTCGAACCAGGAAGAAGGGCTTTGTCCAGAAACCAGACATCGAAAACTCGTCGAGATAGTATATCGTGTCCATGGGTGCCTTCCCTAAGTTCAGGCTGCTCAGGCTGCCCCTGAAGATCATCAGGATGGTCATCGATCACCTCTCTCAGAGCGACACCATCAGTCTCGCTCAGACGGGCCGCGTCATGGCCAAGGTTGCCACCCACAGCATCTACTTCAAGGACCGTGATTCAGGCCGACAGTGGGCTCTGAATCTGGGCTGCGACCTCGGCCGAGTTGACCTCGTGCAGAAGGCCATCGAGTACCGGTATGACCTCAACAGACTCACAGACGAAGGCGTGCCTCTCTCGCGTGCGGTTCGTCACCCCCACCTCGGCGACAAGATATCGGTGGTCGAGATGCTGCTACGCAACGGGGCCGACCCATCGCTCGGCAGCAGCCACCCCTTGCTCACCCACTTCGCCCAGAACAACGGCCTCGTGCTGGGCCGCTGCCACACAACGATCCCGACGCTGCTCCTCACCCACGGCGCCCGGCCCTCGGCCATCGAATCCAGCGGCATCCGCCTCATCAACCTGGCCATCGACCGCGCCGACAATCTGTGCTGCCACAGCCACGGCCCAGTCTGCGTCCTGCAGCTCGTGCAGCTCCTCCTCCTGCACGGCGCCAGCGCCAACAGGCCCCTCTTCACCGGCAGCGTCTCGCCCCTCGTGCGCGCCATGTGCTCGCTGCACCGGCCCGTTGACCTCTTCCACCTTCTGCTCAACAACGGCGCCGACCCCGGCGCCGCCTCCGACCTATACCTCGCCCCTGGCCGGCCCTTCCACCTCGCGCTGGACCTCCCGCGGCAACCGCAGGTCCCGCTGAAGTGGGCCATCCTCTACCTCCCCATCACGACCGACTGGGACGACAGAATGCAGATGGTCAAGACTCTGCTCATCCACGGCGCCAAAGGCAGTCGGCTCTGGCGGAACACGGTCCTCCACGATGTGATCGAGGCGGCGGGCTCGGATGAGAGCGTTGCCGTCGTGCCGTTTGGGGTGGCCTATGATCTGTGCGCGCTGCTCCTACAGTCGGGAGCCAATCCGAACTGCATCAAGGGTGGCGAGATGCCGCTGCAGAAGCTGGCCTCGGCTGAAGGATTCAATGAAAAGGATCGGATGCTCCTCGCCGGGTTGTTGATGGCCGGAGGAGCTTGGGAGTAAATGAAGTATGGTTCTGTGGTGACGACGATGATGACGAGGCCGAGCAACCGAGCCGAGATACCGATACTGAGGGTTTGTAGTGCTCCTACAGAGTGCTGTTGTTTGGGAGTCGGGGGGTTTCTTGTTTGAGAGCCAATGTTGTGCTCAAACGTTGTCTACCTACATTTGGTAACTGGTATACCCTTGGAATTGCGATCATGGTTGTTAGGGTTAATCTATATATTGTCTGTGACTATTCATGAGGGTGCGCAATGGTTATGTTTCCGTTAGCTCTTGAAATCACACGAGGTTGATTCCAAGGACTCAATGTGGTGGCATGGTTTTAGCGATTCAGCATTGCACCTAGCGGCCCAAGCAAACCCTACCAGTATCCTACCGCTAGGTCTATCTTCTGGGGTCATAGAAGCGATCATTTGGGATGATCAGCCATTGCAACCATAATATGGGGGCACGAGTTTACAGTTTCACATGGCAGCCATTCCTCAGTGTGCAAGATGCATCCTTCGGGTCGATTGAGATAGGGCTTGCTGTCGAAGGTCACCCATCGCCATGGATGATCTGTGTCTCGATAAGTGTGCCTCGAAAGTCTAAGGACAGTAAAACGTCGAAAGTCAACGATTTTCGGGGAGGCGGAATGACCTCCGCAGCGGGCTACGTCAGTTCATGTTCCACAGCATACGAAGCTGAAGTTGTCATGATGAATGGCGTTGCTACATCCGAAGTTGTCGAGCAGCGGCAGCTTTCGGGAGGTGGAGCCCTTCGCTGACGATGCATGACTAAGACGATGTTCGGATGGTACCTACCGATGGTGGGCCACTACTACAGGTACCTACCTGAGGCAAGGTACCTAGGTAGGTGGTGAATGCACCTGCGGACGGAGGCAGGTCAGTGGATCAGGGGTCGCTAGTGGCCGTCTTAGGTGGTAGGTGCTGGCGCCAACTCTCCTCAGTACCTTGGATACCCAATCCCCACCTGCCGCAGATAGAGATGAAGACCACATGGCTGGGAATTCGAACGAACCAGTCGATCCATCTATAATATCCAAGATTCATGGGTTGGAATGTCGGCGGCAAGCGCAGAAGCGAAGGACGATGGACAGTCGTAATCCATTGCACCGCAGCAGCGGGCGATGGCACGACAACACAAGAGGAGGAAAGAGAACATCAGCCAGCGATCAGGCACGGTGGGTTTCAAGCGCGTGGCTGAAACCACCACTCGCCCTCGGCCCTGACACCTCACGAGACGGTTCTCGTCACAGGCCTCCGTTCACAGCCCTCGCATGGCCCCATTGTCACCTCACCTGGTGGTATTCCACGTTGTGGCTGACATCACTTTCTCTCGTGGCCCGCCAGTCGCCTTCCCAGCCCTGATCCTTCCCATCCATGCTGTGCCTGGCCTTTTGAGATCTGCAACGTCAAGTGCCGCTCGGTGCTGCTCAGCGCTGCTCAGTGCAACGTCAGCTCCGCCGCCCCCCTTCTTCGTCTACTACGGTAGGGAGGCTCGCGATTCTTTTCTTCCTCTGACAACCCATCCGCCGGAACGACACCATAATTTCTCATCGCGGGCCCAATTCGCTCTCTTCCCGCCGCCTCGCCCGCGACTTTCTTTCTTTCGCTTCGATTGTCAGCTGGTCTGTCCCTTTTCCCCCTCCGACCTTGCGCCCTGGCGGTTTAATTCTCAAACCCCACAATCAATCAATCTCGCCCCTCCCAATTTCCGCCCTACCGAAAACGAACCACGCGCCGCGATCGATCCAGCCTGGCGCCATCGAATCGAACCAGACGACTTACCTGCCTCGCCCGCTTTTTTAAGTTGGACTTGTCATTGATACACACATACAACCCACGAAGCCCACGCCGTCGGATCGTCCCGAAGGGCAGACGAACGACGATCGCTATTCCGCCCGCTCGACAACTGTCCCGTCCTCGCACGAGAGATAGCCCCATCTGTCACGATGAGGTTAACTGCCGCGGCCCTCCTCGCCATGGCCGCCTCCCTCGCCTCCGGTGCCGTTGTCATCACGCCCGTCACGCAAAACCAGGTCGTCGACAGAGTCAGCGGTGACTGCTACTTTGGCGTCGCCACGCCCCAGGGCTGCGCGTGAGTGGAGGGCCATCCAGCTGGTGGAGGGAACCCGAACTGACGAGGTGTAGACCCCTTCGCAACTAGGAAGCGACAACGACGACAAATGAGATACGCCTCCTCGACCGCCGCCTTGCTCTGTCGAAAATCGGACTGGTCTTAATCAAATGGTTTTGAACAAACCCACAACACCATGCTAGCGTAACCGCAGGCAACAGAACAACGTCTACAAGAAGCAGAAAACCAACCTGCCTCTGCTTAAGCGAAGGACCGCATAGAAGAAGTCAGGAGGGGCGGGAGAGAAAGATACGGGGAGAGACCAAGAGAGAAGACCTCGACATGGGAGCGACGAGACGGGAGACACAATCTCATTTTGCATCTGCAGCGAAGTAATGACCACGACCACAAGTTTGCACGTCACGCCGGCTGGGTCTGGACTAAGCAACACCCCCCATCCCTGCTTTTCTTCTTCTTTCTCACACATAGACACACTCTTGGAACATATGCGCCATGCCGGCCGCAACAACTTATATTACTGGGAAATAGCGAATGCTTGCCGAACACACGACGCTGTCCGTATTGCTGCTTCCACGCGCGATCCTCCCCGTGTTGCCGTCCTGACCGCGTCTTCTGATACCACATATGCACGTGTACAACAACCCCTTTGCTCTCACTCTCTCTCTCTCTCTCTCTCTCTCTCTCTCTCTGTCCTTTTATGTCGTTGTCAACTTCCACCTGGGCGATGCTCACCAGATCATGATCCTCTTGCCGTCTGCGTCCTTATTTTACTCTGCCACGGCACATGATGCAATGCGATGTGACGCAATGAAAAAAATCAAACCAAAGGCAACAAACAAAAGTCAAAGCCCTTCGTCAGCAAGGCCATGCTTTGGCGCTCCTGCCCTAGTATTGTTTCGGCGCTCGCCCGTCTCTCCTGACCTCTCAGACGCTTTGGTTGATCCCCCGAGGGTAACCCTTGCCCTGCGGACACATTAGCAAAGTCCCCGGCCTCACAGCTTCATCGCAGCGCAAGGGTTGGGAGAGCAAGAGAGCAGGACGTACAAGGCACTCATCGCACGCCGCGTGGCTACCCGGCATCCAGTTGATGGTAGGGTAGGCAACACACTGGCCCGTGTTGTAGTACATGCAGGGATAGCGGTCCGACATGTTGGGCAAGCTTTGCGGGGGAGGGGGCTCTTTGGGGATTGTGTGTGCCCGGAACAGCCTTGGGAGATGTCTGTATATGACGTGTGGAGACGGAAACCCGGGGTAGGAGGGGCCGAAGAAGTAGTGTTCTCTTGTCTCTGTGGTGACGAGGGGATGCAATGAAAAAATGAAGGAAATGCGGCCGATGAAACTGATTACCACCACTTCCACAGCTCACCTTCTCGAGGCCCGAGGAGCAAACTCGACTTTTATAGATCTTCGCCCATCGCCCATTGCCTGTCGCCCGTCGCCCGTCGACTGCTTCACATTTCTATTAAGACCACCTGCCAACGTCGTGGAGGAAAGATTGATACGGTGGCTATTCTGCGGAGCATTCGACGCGATAACACGAGTCCGGATCTCACGGGTCGCTGTCCGCGGCGAGGTGGTTGTGTGCTCGCGGCGCGGCCTCGGTCGACTTGATTTGATGCATGCCATTGTCGTCTGCAGCATGCACTGCGACCCCTCACCTCGCCCCCTCTTAGCCTTGCTTATTCCTATTCATGCCATGCACGTCGTCCTATTATTCCCATTATTCCCTCCTCCTCCCATGTTGTGTCACCCCAGAAAATCCGTGGCGATGCTCGCGTGGGCTGGCAAGGCTGGTTGAGCCAACCCTCCCACAACCGCCGTTACCTGAGTTCACAATGCAGACAAGACGGGGAGCGTTCCCTCTGGCTCTCCTTCTCTCTTCCTGAGGCTGCCACGTCACCCCGCCTGTAACTCGTCCATTCCGTTCGTCGCCCACAGGACCATTTATATCGACTGCATTTGCTTTCACCCCTCAACCCCCTCCCCCTCATGGCGCCGTTCAATCAGCCGGCCGGAGGTCCCAGCTCCTGCGCCTGGGGTCGCACGTAGCCCGAGGCCGAGACCCCGCCACCTTATCGGCCTGGTCAGACTGACGGTTACATCCGGTGACACGCGGTCTGGGCCGGTGTGGACCCCGGGGGTGGGGGAGGGGGGGGGGGGGCATCCGGGCATAAGGAGATGGCTGATGCATCATATCAGAGCTGCTGCTACCTTGCCACAATGAGGCATTGGATGGGCGCTGCAGGACATGTTTCTCCCCCACGGTTGTTATTCAACCGCACGTCTTTCGGTCGAGTTTCCGAGAGCCCAATAACCAATGACCAGCTAGGGCAAGCACATAGCGGCTTGCATGTTCACAGTGCCAGCTAGCTAAAAGCCCAAAACGAGAGAGTGGAAGAGAAAACATATCTCGATGCTCCCACATTTCTCAAAGGATTTGGCATCCCCACCTCCTCATAGGAGCTTCGTCACACACGTTCTCGCCCAGGTATGCCCTTGAGCACTCATGCAGGAAAGAAGCAGGCATGAATAACCAACGTACATAATTAGGGGCTATGAGGTCTGGGTCCGGCGTTGATCGTCGTCGGCCCAACTTCGTCCTCGACCAGTCGTGGATACAGGAGCAATCCCACCCTCGCGGCCCTCTCAAGAGCCCTCCTCACATCGAAGGGAAAACTTGGCTCGCCGATCGGCCGTCATGACGCCCCAATGACCCTCGGGCGCCTCCACGCCATCCTCACCAACGGCATTCGGCTTCCAAGGCTCGTCGAACGCCTCAAACACGAAGACGTTGTACCCCCAACCGATCATGCCACACACCGCTTCTTGGTAAATCTGCTCAGCCTGCACCTTCCCAGGCTTCGCGTTTCCGTAGCTGCTCCCTTCGCTCGGCCATCCGGTCTCTCCCACCCAAAGCTCCGGCATCTTGCTCACCCGTGCTCTCTCTTCCACGTGAAGGTACGCCTGCGCAATGCTGTCAAATAATGTCGCCGTCGCATTGTCCACAGCCTGCTTCTGCCAGTATGAAAACGCATTGACAAGGACAAGGTCCGCTGTGTTCACGACGGCGTCAGCGGTGCCGTCCTGGAACTTGTTCCAACTGTCGGCCGTGCCAACCCGGACCCCTGGTGCCGACACCCTGAAGTCATTCATCTTGGCCGCCAGTTCCGGGCCTGTAAAGTTCCTTCGATACAACGTCTCGGAACCGACGGTCACGGCGTAGATCTGTGAGGCATATGCCGTGTCGTGCTGCAGGACCGCAAGCTTGTCTACCGTGTACGACTCTTCAAGATCCGGCCTCGACTCGACTGTCAGCACCCTCACCAATCTCAATAATCCCAAAGGAAAGGCGAAGCAAGCCTACCAGATACCCAGAACGACCTGGAAGCCCTGGCTCTTGGCGGCGGGAAGAATCTCCTTTGCCGTGTTACACTGATCTGCGGCGTAGATACGGACGAGCTCGCTGCCCGACTCTTTCTTGATGGCCTGCATGTCGGCCTCGTAGTCGGTCTGAAGCTTACAGCTGCCATCTGCGCGCTTGGACCCAAGGTCGAAGCCTAGAGTGCCAGCTGCGGCAGCTAGGCTCGAGAGAAGGGCTGTAAAGGTGATGCAGTCGATGATGAGATGCATGGCGATTATTGATGATGTGTGTTTCTTAGAAGCGTAGGGACAACGTATCGAATGATGACTTCAGAATTTTAGGATGCTGATCGACAATATGGGCATGACTGGGACGAAGGGCAATATTCCCAGAACTGTTGCCAAGTCACAGATGCTGGAGACAGACCCAACGGAAAAGACCAAAGGCAGTCACAGGCAGTCACGACGAGGCAGGTGTACTGGAGGTAGCACATTCACACCCACACAGAGCCGCACCTTTGTGCCCCGTGGAGGCTTCCGAATCATGGAGAGTTCACCATCTCGAGCTGTCTGATGGTCCAGGGCCTTGCATAAAGGTACAACGATGATGGTCGATAAGACAGTAGCGACCGCAGATGCACATGTCGCATCAATAATCAAACCACCAGTGCGAAATAACAGCATCATGTTATCATGGGTCCTAACTGATTGTACCCAAAGCTAACATGTTTCTCAATATACCAGACATACGGTAAAAAGCGCCCCCATCGTGCGTCCAATCCGTCTTTGGGATGCAGTCGCCCGGTACAATGCATTGTCCTAACGCCAGTACACTAGATGTTATCCCAAATGCAACTATATGCGAACTCCGTTTTCCTTTTTATAGAAAATTAACACTACAAGAGGAACATGGCAACGGCGACACCGGCCATGGCAACCCAAGCAGCAGCCGGCGTCAAGTGGCAGGCAGCGCTGTCGCCGTTGGATGAGCCGCCGTTATTGCCGCCGCCACTGTTACTGTTTCCACTGCTACCCGTGTTGCCCTCGCTGGCATCACACTCGCCGGTAAACTTCTGCGTCTCGTTGGCGCCAGCAGGGATCATCTGGAGGTTGGTGCCGCAGTTCACATAAGGAGCGAAGTGTAGGGCGGGCGTGTCCATGTCGAAGACGGTGTAGACAGATCGAAGGAACGAGTCGCCGAGAATGTAGCTACCGTCATCGGCAGAATCGGCACCCAGAACGCAGGTGTTTTGGCCCACATCCCAGATGAACTCCTCGAGGGGCACCTTGACTGTGTAGCCATCAAAGGTGAAGTCGATGCTGCCTTCCATGTTGCACGGAACAATGTACAGGTTCACGGAAGTGTCCATGCGGCCGCCGAGATCGCTGGCAATGTCGGCAATGAGGCCCGAGGGCAGGTAGCTTAGGGTGGCGCCAGTATCGAAGAAGACCGGGAGAGAAGAGTTCCGGTAAGAAGACGAGTCGGAGTCGGGGGTACTGAGGCCAACCGAGTCCATCTGAACCCAGTACCTTCTCAGGCGCTCGCCATTCTGGGGACCGAGGATGGGCATGGTGTGCAAGTCGCCGCTGAATTTCTTCGTATCGACGCCGCCAAAGGAGATAACGCCGCTGCCAGTGGGCTCGTCCTTGGTGCCGAGGGCGACACCGAACGCATGAGTACGGGTCACGTTCTGGTTGACCATCTCATCGACCACGCTGGGATATTGCATGTTGATCCCGTCACCAAAGCTGAGACCGAGAATGCCCATGGTCAAGTCTTGGCTGTCCAGTCCGTAGCCGAAAATGACCTGGTCGAGCTTGATGTCTGTGGATTGTCAGTCCTGTGACCTAGGGACTGAGGTTTGGCATGGGAGTTCAGCGACTTACCACTTCCCGGGATCGCGATCTGATCCGACACATACTGAAGCGCAACATCGCCCTTTCCATAACTGATGGTGTTCTGTGTCTGGGAGACGCGCGATGTGTCTGAGTCGGCGGGACGGTAGTGACCGTAGGTATCGCAGATTTGGGCCTGAGAGGAACTGCCAGCGTTCTCGCAATTCGGGTTGACCCAGAGTTCGGAAGAGCCGGTATCGATAGCGACGCGGACCGTCTGTGCCGGACTTCCAAGGTCGACTGCAACAAGTCAGTGTCTACGAAGAAGTCGGAAGATGCTGTGACGAGATGTGGCGAAGACATACGCTCAATGAGGTAGCTGGTAGATGTCACATTGATGATCTGGACGTTGGTGTTGTCGACCTGTCGCTTGCTCCTCCTCCTCAGCTTTTCGAGGGACTGTATGCGGACATCCTGATAGACGGGGAGGGACAGAGGCGCGGCATTGGTGTTCGAGGGGGCGGAGGAGGCTTTGTCGTCGCGGGCAGCCGAGAGAGCCAAGGATGTGGATGTCAGGGACAGCAGCAAGTAGTTCTGTAGTAGCCCCATGGCTGTGGATGTCAAGCTGTGAAAGGCCGGCGATTGCTAGCTGCGGAGGACCCAAGACACAAGAAGAGGAAAGGGCTGCTCGAGGAATGCAGGCGTGACGGGTCTCGATGAGGCAACACGGAAGGCGTTAGGTCGGAGTGGGTAGGGAATCGTTAGAGCAGAACGCTGTAGAAGGAGGACAACGAGCGGATGCAATTCACAACCAGAAAAGGGCAGACAGAGATGGGATGAAGAAGGAGGCAAGCACAAGCAGACGCTAGCATGAAGCACCGAGCACCACGCAATGGACAATGAGTAATGAGCACTGGGTAACGAGCGCCAAGCCGAGTATCAAGCACCAGAAGCAAGCTAAAAAAAAAATAGGAAAGAGGAATAAGACGAGCAGAAGCAGCAGGCCTCCGAATCGTCACTGACGCGTCCGCAAGCCACATCCCCCTTCGGGTTACCTGCTGCTCGGCTGGCGAGCGGGTCGTCGCTGGATTAAGCTGGGCTCATCAGTGGAGAGTAGCGGGGCAGGCCCGACGCAGGAGGCGGGAATACGTAGGCGAAATTCTGCAGGAAGGGGTACCTACCTTGAAAGGGTAAGAAGTACCTTGGCAGAGTTACCGTCATGGGCGGGAACCAGGCGAGGCAAGGCGAGACGAGACGAAACGATACAGGACAAGATAAAGCAACGATAACATGTATATACCCCTGCCATCCCGCAGTTACAGAAAGTATACATTGGCACCCACAGGGCAGCGATAACCTTTCGGGAGGCTTTGCATGTATGGGCCATCCATCGATTGCTCTGCTCGTTGCTTGTCTTCCCATGCGCCTTGAGCCGGGCAGCTGGGTACCACTGGCAGGTATTCGGGGTACCCAGTGGGCAAGAAGCACGGCACATTAGAGCCGGCATTGCGCAACCCCCTCCAACTGATGACCCTGATACCGTGGCCATGGTGCGTTGCCGTGAGCGTCGAGTGTGCCCGATGACGAAGCTTGCGGCGACTTCTCTGGCAGACTTGGTCGGGGGGAGGAACATCAGTAACGCCTCTCCCGCGTGTGACCTGGCTTCCAGTGGACGGCGACGCCAAGCTGAGTGTTAGGTTGTTTCTGCAGTCCCTGATTCCAGATTCAGCCCCTTTGACGCCCGCCCTCCGCCCTCGATGTGCCTGCGCATTTGCTATGCAGGGCCTCTGCACGATCTAGGCCAATAAGCGACCGCACAAGCGAAGGCTTAATAACAACAATAACAGTCATTTGCGGCTGATCTGCACCGCAATTCGGATGGTTGTGAGACGGTGGCAGGCAATGCAAAAAAAAAGTTCTTTTTCTTCGGATCGCCCTCGGCATGCTACGCAGGTAGGGGTGTTCATGACTAGAATCGGAGCATGCATGTAAGCAATCAGTCCTAGAGGGATCTCGCGCCAAGTCACCAGACTCCGATCTCGACTGGAGAACCAGCCGGTTCGGTTGGCTCGGGGAGAGCGACGCGGCACCGACGTCACATCAAACCTTACTGACACGTTCTGTCTGGCTCTCTGTCGCCGGCCCTCTTGTTGAACTCTCTTCCGTCCACCAGTCCACACGCGGCCGTCGTCATCCAGAGACATGTGTGATCCCCTTCTCGTAGCTCGTCCCACACGGCGGCACCTGCGGCGACGGCGCCTCCACTGCTTCTCTGCCTCGCCTTGCTAGGTACCTAGTATTGTGGAGGAGCTTAGGGGCTTACTTCAAGGTCCCTAGGTGCCTTCAGGTTAGTAGGTGGTAGGCTACAAGTCACTCTGTTTCGGGAGTGGGTGCGCCACCGCCACACCTCGCACATCGCAACTACCCCTTGCGGCGCCTTACTTTCTTCCCCCATCCTTGCGTCCTTGCCACAGTCCGCCGCCGTGAGTTTCAATGTGAGATGGCCTGAGACAACGGCCCCTTTTCGCTCGAGAATGGCACGAGTCGCTGAAAATACCACTTCGACATTGACGCTACATGGGGTAGCAGACACCTCTAAATGCTGCTGGCGAGGAGTCTCAACGATGAACTACGTGCTTCAACGTGCGCGACTTGGCCATGTGCCTCTTCTTGTGGCCTCTTCCGCATTGGTTGGCTAGGTCATGGATCCATTGCCTTGGCGCCGTAACACGATCTTCCAGCCAGGGGGACCGGGTTACCGATAAGTCTACGCCGTGGGCCGACTCCGTCTGGTGTTTGCGGCCGAAGGTATCACAAGGCTGGCCCATGAGACACTTGGGAGATCATCGTGGATAGTAAGGCGCTGCTGGCCTCGCAGGGGTTCCTGGCCGCCTGCTCCAGCGACATCACACGATCCGAGGCTTCCGTACTCGAGCACGACTCTTTGTGGCCTTTCTGACAGGCCTTTGACCTCCCAGACTTCAGATGTCTCTGCTAGCTCACTGGCCGCGGGGCTACACACAGCTGATATTATCGTTGACCTTGATCATGCGTGTTACATCATGAGACGGGCATCACTCTTCGCAGGTACCAATATTTTCGACGCAGCAAGACACACACACACACGCATTGAATTCCACCAAGTCAGTCACAACAGCGACAACAGCACCCCGTGATACAATATGGTCCCCTTGCCTTGACTAGGTACTGATAGGCGCTCCTGGTCCTGGACGAGTGTAGTGCAAGTAGAGTAGAGTAGCACTGGCTTGACCGGAACGCCATCTTGATTGATAAAGATAAAGAGATGAGGTGGAATAGAGAGAACGTAGGTCTGCTCACCCTTGGCTCCTCCAATTACCGTGTCGCATACTTGACATGCCGAAAGGAAGTGAAAACAAATGGACATCGTCGAAGCTAGTCTTACAGGGACGTTTGTGAACTCAGTCGCTAGAGAGGACCCATCAAATCGACCTCGGCGCCTTTCAACATGGCACAACGTCCAGCCACACCATATCAGTCCTCGTCGAAGATCTGGTACGTGTTCTGGAGAATGGTGTCGATCGCCTTGATCTGCCAACCCGCGTCCGCAATGGCAGTGCTTGGATCAGTGCCCATCAGCGTCGGGCCAAAAATGACGGCCAGGTTGTGGCAGTTCATCCGGTTGACATGCGAGTTGTCCATGACGCGGTGAAGATGCAGCGCCAACGCTCGCAACGTGGCGTAGTTGGGGTCGGGCAGGCTGTTGATGATAGCGTGGAGCGAGTCCCTCCTGACAATATCGTCTGCGTGTTCTGAATTGTGTTAGCAAGCAAATCGGGAGGCAGATTGACACACGCGAAACTTACTAGCTGCCTCAATGAGCGCCCCATGCTGCTCCATAGTGAGAAGAGGGTCCGACAGGTCGCGGAGAAACTGCTTCAGCAAGCCTGTGACACTGTTCACATCGTGGTAGAAGTTTTCTGGGTTGCGGAAATCCAATGCTGGGTTGCTCGAGTCCGTGTCAAACATGTTCTTGAGCTTGTTGATGTGATTCAGCGATCCCGATTGCCTGTAGATGCCCTCTACCCCAAGGCCAAACAGATCGACTGCCTGGATGCACTGATAAACAACCATGGGCACCGCCAAACCGTCGCGCTCGTAGAGGCGGTCTAGTGAGAGACCAAACACGGGCCTAGTGGGCATGGACCCTGCCTGCGCCGGAGGCGATTGTCGGTTCTGCGGAGGAGCGGGCTGCTGCAGAGGTCCTGGCAAACCATGGCCCGAGCCCTGAGAGGCTGGGCCGGAGGGTGGATGTTGCTGCAGGGGGTTGTGGCCTGGTTGCTGCCACTGTGAAGACGATTGTTGATGGGGCGAAGACGACATTTGCGCCTGCTGCTGTAAGGGGGGAGACTGTTGTCGCGGCGGTTGCTGTGGCGAGTTCTGGAAAGAGAGAGCTCCAAGCTGCGGGGGTCCTTGCGAGTTCGTTGGGCTGTTGAACTTGGATGCAGGCAGAGCCGAGTTTCGAGAAGGCTGCTGGAATGACTGCTGTTGCTGCTGAGCATCGTTTCCTTGAGACAACATGTTGCCCTGGCTGAAGCTGCGGCCGTGAGCTGAACCCGACTGCTGCTGGCCGCTGCTCGGAGGGGGTGGACCAGCACCAGGAGGAAAGCCTTGGCCAAGTGATGCGCCGCTCACTCCGCCGGGACCTGCCCCAGGAGGTCCGGCCTGCTGGAAGGTGCTCGTTCTTCCCGGTGCGGGCGCTTGCTGGTGTCCCTGTCCTGCAGGTGGCCCCCCATACTGGCTTGGGGGCGGTCCTTGGGACTGCTGGCTGTTGGGCGCTTGCTGGGGACTCAATACCGGGTGGCGTTCATACTTGATCTCCCCGCTGCTAGGGGGGAGTCTGTTCTGCTGCCCAGCCACATAATCATTGACGTCTCTGTCATTATCGATGGCCATGACAGCTTCACGCAGACTACGCGCGCCGCTCGACTCTTGTCCATTCTTGATAGGGCTGATGCTGAGACCGTTGCTCAGGAGAAGCTTCTCGTTGAACGATGCTGCCGCGTGTTAGCGGACGGGTACAGCGCTGGCGAGGAGCGAGGTGAAGACGTACCAAATTTCTGCATTTGCAGCGTGACTCCTGAGTCTGTTTCCGTCACAAGATCACGTAGGGCGCGGATGGCCTCGGGTCGAGTCCTTGTCACCAGCTCATGCTTCTCTGACTGCAGATGCTGCACCTTGCCGTGGTAGTCCTGGTCGGCTCCCTGGACCTTGCGCAGAAGGTCTTCTTCGTGTTGAGGTCCAGACTTGCTCTTCAAGCTGAACATCTTGCCACTCTGACGACTGGTGTCACCAGTACGAGCCCTGTCATACTCGTCGGCCAAAGAGTCGTACTTGGCCTTCGATTTGCGCAGCACCGTCTCCAGTTCTGCTACCCTCTGCTCTGGAGCCAGACCGTTGACCTTCCAGCCCTTCCTACTGCGCTCGGCAACAGCAGCCAGCTCGACCAGATCGTCATGCATCTGGTGCAGAGAAAGAGCAAATTGCATGCCGTTCTCGGCCATTCGTTCGTGAATGTACATCATCTCGGTATAGGCTTGAGCAAAGGTGCCTTGCTTGTGGTCTGGTAGGTGCATGGTGTCGTGGCTCATGCGAGAGAGCTTCTTGAGGGAGGATGCGTGCGTTTCTTCGATGGCTGATCTCTTCTTGAGGAATAGAGCGAACTCCTGTACGTCCGCTTCGATTAGCATTGGAGTGGAACGTATTGAAGCCCTTGTCTCGTGCTTATCGCTCACCTTTGCAGAGGCAATGCTCGCCTTGAGCTGGTTCAACATGGTCGAGACGCCAATCTGGGGACTTCTGTCAACTTTACCGAATGCGCCGGCGTTCGCGGGTCATGTCACCTCTGAGGCCAAGACGGTCTGTACTTGGACTGGCGCCTCCTTTCCTTGCAATGTGGATGGCTTCGGCGGCAGTGGGCCATTGCCATTGCCAGCGTTCTCTGGCGGCGCTTGGCCACCGTTGTGTGAAGCACTCGGTTGGGGCGGAGCGGCACTGTTCCCAACAGAGAGGCTGCCGGCGCGATCGCGTCCCTGATTCTGAGGGAAGTCCCCGGAAGCGGGGGACTGGAAGTCGGTCATTCTTGTCGATGCGCCGTGTTGGCCGGAAGACGGAGCGCGCGTTGGTATTCAGAGAGGCGGGCGCAACAGCCGACGGAGTTCGAAGGGGGGAAAGCGACAGGAGCTTTCGGCAGGGAGAGTCGAAAGACAGGGGTAAATCGGTAGTGTCGCTCTGGTCGTGCTGGTTATTCGGGCGATAGCGGACCAAGAGGTCAACTTTGGGAACGGCGATATGTACTGTTTCAAGGCCGAGGGCCACGATGTCTTTAATCTGACGGCTGCAGACAAGGCTGATGGGTGGTACGAGACAGCGGGCTGGCTGGTTGGCAGTTTGGATGGCTAATTGTAGAACGTGGAGACAGGTTGTCAGGGTCGAGTAGGCGTGCACGGTCTTCGCGATGATGAATGTGGGATGACGATGCTGGGGTGGCTGGTGCTGTGCCGTTGGGCGAATACGAAAGGAGCTGGCGGGGCCTGAAGCAAACAATCCGAGAGCTACCTACTGTAGGATGGGGGCGAAGTCGTGGTCAGGTTGGCTGGGTGGGAAGAGACGACGCGTAACAAGAAGGCGATCGACGGGCGAAAGAGGGTAATTGCTGAAGAGGATGGAGTTGCGGCACTGGCACGTGTGATGCTCAATCTGTTTGCCAGCGATGCACGCACACAGTATCATGTATGCTTTGCGCTTTGAGGGAGTGGCTAATGGAAGGAGTGGAGGGGGAGGGGATGTTTCCAGTGGCCACGAGCTGCCTTCCCTCAGGAGGAGACGTACATTGATCAGTGGGGTAGGTGCGCTGTGTGTGCTATCGCCTGCCGCGGGAAAAATCCCCGGTTCTGAGCCGTCATCCCCGCCTACCTACAGGCCAGAGCGCCCCCCCCTGGTTCTGTTCAGGGTCATGCTTCACCTTTCTTCTTTCATCTACTTGACCTCGTATGGAAGCATGGAAGCATGGAAGCATGGAAATAGCGTGTGAAAATTGCATGTCAGTTAGATACATCAACTCATGCCAGCCCTCAGGATTGATTTGCTATTGAAGTAGTCGGAACAACTCGGCAGACAGTAGGGCCACAACACCGACCTCACTACCCCAGAGTCGGACGTCTGAGAATGTCAAAAGGGGGCTTGACAGGTGTGCGATGCATGGGGTAATACATGTTTGTGACGTGTGAAAGATCAGCATGCAGGTGCTCAATAACTGATTGACGGTAGTAATTGGGGCGCATGCCACGTTCCTCTCCATACCTTCGGCCCGGTTTGGTGGCACAAATATGTCTCCATCGTTGTCAACCACGCATGTGTTTCAACCAGATAGCCTTCGACAGCATGGTGACAAGTTCCCGCAAACTTCTACCAATCAGTCATCATGACTCTGTCAAGGAACGTCTCGCCTATCCGGCTATGGCTCGACTGTCATCCCAACTCCGACTAAGCTACGCCAAGAAGCGGTCGATCATGGAGTTCGTGTCTCAGACGCGTTTTCAATGGCGCTACATGTACATGGTCATCATGGCGATCAACGGCTCGTCTGATAGTGTCACGAGGGAACGCGAACATGTTGATCCGGACGGGGTGAAACGCAACACGCCGTCTATTGCTCTCGCACCAGCTCATCTCTCTGGTTCCCCAATGCCGGCGGGGGGCCCTTTTTCAACTCGCATAGCTCTGGTCCTAAGCCCTCGTGCAGATTCGCCATGATTCTGACCACCCGGAAACACAAACACCAAAACTCCGACGCCTGAATGTAGGCTTGCTGCAGATCTTTTCCCCCTCCTGTCCTCGACTTCTTCCTCGTCGAATACGCTAGTAGAACAAAAGCGCGAGAGGCTTCTTCTCGTCGACGTAGCGATCCTTGAACTCGTTGCGCGTCAGCCATTGGGCCAGCGGCAGCATCGTCTCCTTCATGTCCATGACGCCCCTTTTCTTCTGGTCAATGTGCGACGCGTCGACTACAATACGATCCAGCTTGGCCAGAGACAGCGCGCCTGTGCCATAGAGTCAGATCTCCACCACCAATAAAATGTGAAATGGTTGTGCAACGTACCATTGTCGACGAGGGCCATGAGCCTCGCCGGCGTGCCGACAGCGATACCGGTACGCTGACTCTGAAGGAACTTAGTCTGCTCATCGACCTTCATGTGCTTCGCGAACTGATACGACGTTAGTGTCATGAAATTCTGCCAGCTCACACGCGAGGACACCCACAAGCTTCGAGACGGTGCTCTCAGGGGTCTGAAACTTCCTCGTCGCCCTGTGCCCCCAGATTGAACGTTAGTGATCATGCCTCGTGTAGATTTGAGGAGGTGGTGGAAGAGGGTACGCACCTCACGAGATCGGCCGCGCGTAGACCTGCGCCGGCAACGATGATGGTGTGCGGTGTGCCCTTGGCGGAAGGCGCAGAGCTCAGCCTCTCCGGCTTCTCAGCAAACTTTTCAAGAAACTCGGGCAGCTTCTCCGCAGTCCGGGGCTCATCCCACGACGTCGTGTCCCGGATAGCGTTGGCTTTTGACGTGTCAGCGACATTGCATCTTCCCAGGTGCTGCTCCCCGTCCCGTTCGTGGACATACTTACCAGAGACCGTCAAGTCAGACACCTCAATCGAGCTCAGATCCGATCCGAAGCGGCTGATCTTCTGTGCCAGGTAATCTGCGAGAAGCTGGTTGTCCATGACCGAGAAGGACTTGTTGAGGCCGAGGTCCATGTCGAGAAGTGAGTCGTCGACCTGGAATTTCTTATGCTTCTTGGCCACGGGGGGGGCGCCAGCATCTTTCTTGCTCTGGGCGGGAGCCTTGCGCTTTGTGCCGGCCATTTCTGAGGCGCTTATGGTGACTGAGATGCGAGCGAGTGTGACGCGTCTATGTTTGGTTGAGAAAGTTTTCACGGTTGGGTCCAGGGTCTGAGAGGTCGCGAGTTGGTGATGGTCATCCCCCGAGATCGAAGGACAGTTGAGATGCAAATTCAGTTTTTTGGGCCAGGCCGTCGCGACGCGCTCGCACTGTCCAGGTCGCTGCTAGGGTGATATAGTGGCGGACTCGCGCCCCGAGTGTCGGCTGGCTGCAGGGTCCATTCGGCCACTCCACACAGTGCTTCGGGTCACCTCGCACCTCAAGATTCCCATGAGCCAAAGAAACTTCAGATCAAAAAGATTCACATGAAGAGACCGCGCCATGCTTTCTTGCGTCGTTGACTGAACCGCGGACTAGTGAGCACACTCAATCGATCTGGACGGAAACGACTCAGATTCTCAAGCTTGATTACAACAGCTGCCAGAACAGAGACCGTGAATCGATCAGCCCCACACTGATCCATGTGTTCCTATCGAGAGACTGTCAAGGCTGGCACAGTTCTTGTGCTTCTCGTCGAGATTCTCATCCAAGTCGCCCTCAGAAACGGTAACACTCTATTCATCACCTGAGCTTCAGTCTCCTCCCAGTTCAAGAGATTTTCATTCGTGCTCAGACCTACTTGCGTAAACGCCTCACTCTCGAGGCGAACGGCTAGCCTTGCATACTGGGCTTCCCCTGTTTGTCCCCCGCCGTATACACTGCCCCCCTCATAATCTCCATCACCCACCACCGGAGAGGCCATTCAGGATTCGAATACAAGTGCCGCTCGAGACTATACAAAAGCTTTTGCCAGAGCAGTCCTGGCACCCGCTCGGCTCTTTCCCACAGCCTTCAGGGCTAGAGCTGGCGAGTCTTGCGCACCAGACGCCATACGAAGCAAAAGAGGGAGTTGACACGGATCCAATAGTACGCGACGAATATTTGGGTTATTGTGATGGAAGCAGGGATACCGCAGGAGGGAGGCCGCAATTCCTGAAACGAGCTATCTAATACTCGTAGTACCTAATTATTTACTCATTAAATCGAGAAGGCGCTGCTGGAACCTCTATTTTGTGCGGAAAGTGTCGCCGTTCAAGCAGGCACAAGTGGCGACAAGAGGGAGCGTAACGGGTACTATATATATATATATATATATATAGGTACCCAGGCTGACATGTGCCCCCCTGGGTGTCCTCGCCAACGAGGGTTCTAATCTCGACACCTAAGCACCTCCGTCTTCTGTTTCCTGTCGTCGCCCACAATGAGCCCGTCTTTCGCCGCCAAGAATAAGCACCCTCGAGCTGCCATGGCCTCTTGTGTCTATCAATAGCAACGTCTTCTCTGCCCTCGACGCCCTCTGCTCCCTCATCCTTAGCCGCTCGAGACGGGTAGTTGATAGACGTTGTACGTCGACCTTCTCGGCCAGATGTCCAGCAACACGATGATTGCACCCTGATCTATGGCCGTAGGTGGTCTACACGAAGGCAATGCCGCGTTTCTGTAGGAATTTGCGGTCCAGGAAGCCCCAGAGGCGAGCGGCAAAGCAAAAGCCGATGGTCTCGACTGTATAGTACGCTGCGCACTGGGGGCAGACGGCCGATGTTCTCTTCATCAAGCCTAAATACTCTGATGAAACCGAGATCAACAGCCAGTGCCAAATTCTCTTCCCCCACGTCATAGATTCAGTAGAAGCAGCATGTGCTGCGATGTAATGCATCAAGAAAAGGTGTCAAGGTGTTTCCTGTGAGTTCAACCAAAGGTGACAATAGTCGGTATAGCAAGCGAAGCATTTCACGACAGAGGCCGTTGGATTATGCCAGCCCGTTCTAGGGTCTCGTTTCTCTCTTTGAGCCAACACTCTGGACACTGGAACGAGTACCTCGATGTCCACG